GCCTTCAGATCAGGTGAACTGAGAAACACTGATGCTCTGAGTAAGCTTTCTGTCTAGCATCTCTGCCAGATCACATAAAGCCTGCACGATGTCTGCATAAAACAGCATGCAAACTGAGGGTAGGATATTTGAACAAAAAGGAAAGTATATGATCTATATTGTGCCCATGTCAGATGCAGACAGCCATTCACTACAGCATGGAAGTTTGATCAAAATGCAGTCAGAATAGCTATATTTATCACAAGTGCAAAACTATTCAGACTTCGGTATCACACCAGCACTACTTCTGTGTGCGCATACATTTTATGGCATGCAAGTGTATATCCCTCTAACTGAAAAAATGTGATTCCCTCATTATCAAGAACAAAATTATGTAAAAGACGTTACAGACGTGAGGGGTAGGGAATGGTGCACACAAATATCTTCAAAAAAATAAAAATACTAATACAAGGCATGTAAATTACTATGTCCGTAAGTATCACAGACTCTGGATATATTCCATGGAAATACTGCATATCCTCAACAAAAAAAAAAATTAAAACAAAATAAACCCTGAAATTTGAGATTCTACGATACATCAGGCCTGGATTTTCTCATCTACAATGCACTGGCTATTGTTTGTCCTGAGAGTTAGGCTAGCTATACTATGGGGGAAGCGAAAGAATTAATACCTTGCTTCAGAAATGCTTTTGCAATAGTTTGATAAAGTGCAAAAAACCCCAAACAAACAAAAACAACCAACAAAACAAACAAAAAAATCAAAACCTCAAGCCTGTTTGTGAATATGAGCAACAATCAACCAGAAAATCTTTTTGCAGAAAAAAATCAGGTGAGATAATACCAGTAGAAAAGTCACTGTCATTTGATCACTGCTATATTTTCAAAGCAGTGCCCAGATATTAAGTAATCTCTATAATATCTTAATTTGGTAGGTGACTTGTTATCTTTCTGTCATGGAAAAGGTTACAGAAACTCAAGATAAGGGGTAGCTCTAAATGTTAAAAAGCACACAGCGAGTTTGGTCCAGAATTATCAAAAGAATTTCCAACCTTATCTGGGCCTGATCGCCCATGTTGCTCTCTTCTCCCTTGTAAAACCTAATCTAACTATATCTATATCTATATATATATACACACACGTACATACACACAGAGAAAGTGAGATACATGATAATTCAATAGGGACAAAACAAAATAAACCCCCACAAACCCTTATTATTATCAGCATAAATGTGACCTATAGTATTTCATTTATTTTAGATGTGAAAGTAATAAGAGACTTCCACACTAAAAAAAAAACCAGAGCAAACCTGTGAAAGCCAAGTATGAAAATGCTAAGACTAAGGCTGAGCAGAGACACGGAAGGACTAACATTAAATAACTAAATGCAACAGGCCTGCCTGCCTGCCTGCCTGATCACTTTAGAGCAGCTCCCAGTAGACTGAGGTACAGTAGAGCTTCTGTGCAAGGGGTTGGAAATAAGAATTGATGGTAGAACAATTTCTTTACAACCCTTTGGAGACTGAAGAGCCAAAACAGGAGGGAAATGAGATCTAGGCCACTTGCGAGATGCACCAATTTAATGGAACGAACAAGATGGCCCAAAATTGAGTCCTAGATTAAATTCCAAGTTGCCTTCCCCATCAAAAGAGGTCTAGAGAGGAAGCAGAAATGAAGCGAGCCGTGCGTGTCAAATGCGAGAAGTCTTTCACCTGACATCTGTGTATGCTGCCAGTCTCTAGCAATAAAATCCACAATCCTGAGTCAAAGCATGAAAATACACACAGCAGCCCATAATTCAGAAAAAGATTTGGCTTTTCTATCTGAAATTTGCAGCATCCTTTTGCCTTGCCTGCTTGACACCAAGGAATCTCAGACTAAATCTCTGGTAGGATGCTTGCGAATGGCAATTCAGAACCACACATTTGCTTCAGTCCTTCCCGAGGACTCCGAGTCATGTCAATGGGGTTTCCCCCCATGATGCTGACTCATATAGCAAATTATAAGCCTGGCTTTTGGGGACGGCCACAGTAGTCACAGAGTGAGACACCTGCAGCAGCTTCAAAAGAGACCACGTATTCAACTCTCCTAATGAGAACAAGAGTTGCAGTGGTATTTTACTTAAGAAGGCATGAAGAGTTCATTATGTGTACAGCCCAAGGTTTTAGTTGGACAAAAAGGTAAATGGCAAAAAAAAATTAAAAGAAAAGAAAAAAAATCTACTCAAGTAGATAATGTTGTTAAGTTTTCAAGACTCTATAATTAAGACAAACTGGATTTCAAAGTTTGTTTGCTCACATATTGTCAAGCCATTAAATATATCTGAACTATAAAAATAGTTGCTTGGATTTTCTTTGCTGTACATAGAATGTCAGTACTCTGAATAAATATGAACAATTTTTTTAATATATAAAATGCAAGATTAATTAAGCAAATCAAGTAAATTCTAAGTGGGAATGATGATTCTCAGTTTTCCATGCGTAAATGGGGCTTCAGAGATGCCGCGGACAGAGCACAGCAACTTGAATACTTTGCAACAAATCCTTCCGTACCTACACAAAATAGAGCACTGTTAATGACAGTGACAGAAAACGATAACTACTCTTGTTTCCACTTTGAGTCATTTTTCTGTGGTTAATAAATTATATCCATAACAGTGTTAATAAGTTATGGTACGGTGTCACTGCATTAGTTTGCATTTGTGATGAAGCACTTCATACAGCATCACCTATGCCCATGGAAGTACATAACAAGAGAGACCATTTCTCTGCTCTCAGAAGAGTCTCTAATGTTGGGAATTTGATGGACCTTCTAAGGCGACATTGCCTCATGACCTCTGTCTTGCTCTTACTTCTTACCTCTGTTACAACAGCACACCACTGCAGGGCAGTTCTCCAAATTTAATATGTTCAACAAAACACAGACACTCTTAAATCAGAGTCCTTTCCATAGGAGCAATATACGAGTTACTAGTTAGGCAAATATGGGAAGCATTCAGACCAATTTAGACATGTGAAAAGGACACAGTCAAATCAACACGTCCTCTGTCAAGCTCCCAAAGGGAAATGGGAAGACTTAGACTGACTGATGGGCTCTTGATCAACTGCTGTAACAGCTTGTTTTTCCAAAAGTTAAGAATAAGTAAATGTATTTTAAGGTTAAAGTGATTTGGTCTTTAAAGAAAAAAAAAAAAGGCAGAAGCTATTTAAATTCTTGCAACCTAACTACCACAGTTCTGCTAAAGACAGAGATGACAAAAGTAATAAGCATGCTTTTAACAACAGAAAGAAGCTCACGGCTTTAAGTATATTCTTTTACAAATAAAGAAGCAAAAAGAAGCAAAAAGAAGCAAAAAGAAGCAAAAAGAAGCAAAAAGAAGCAAAAAGAAGCAAAAAGAAGCAAAAAGAAGCAAAAAGAAGCAAAAAGAAGCAAAAAGAAGCAAACCAGTAAAGAAACAGCCCCAAATCAGAGTTCTGTAATCTGGGGTTTTGGTCATCTCAAGAGCTAACTTCAAGAGCTGTTATTAAGAACGATGATTATTGTCCGCTAAAACTGTTACATAAAAATTCAGTATAGTTTAAAGACAACTTTTTAAAAGAGTGTAATTATTGAATTGTCTCCAGTACCATGATACCACCCTCTACTGAAGTATTCCTTTTAAGAACCGTTTTTCTGCTTTATCATTGCATCATCTACATATATACAGAAACTTCTATGTGAAACACAGTGTCCATGAACAGACATAAAATATTCCTTCTTGACAGAATTCACTTGCTTTCCATCAGTATCAAGCGAAAACCAGCACTATTAGATTAAAATGGAGAAAAATCTCACATTATCTGCTGCCTCCATAAACCAGCAGTGCAAAAGCTCACATGCCTTTATAGTAGGCACATACAAGATGACTTTGCAAACATATTACTGGAATGGTTTGCAACCAGTAAAGATAATTTTGATTGTTTCCACTTCAAAACTTCCTATACCGGAGTCACACCGCTGAAAACAATCTAACCATAGTGGAAAAAAAGTGATGGGAAAACAGCCTGCTAATATATCTGCTGGAAAGACAGACAAAAAGAGTAGTCCTCTATAGATTAACTGAAGTCCTGCGGAGACAGGCTCCAATATTCCGAGCAAGAGAAATAAAATCCCCATAAAAATACCTTGACTTCCTTAATTTCCTTTTTCCTCTCCCTACCACAACTAGCATCATTTATTTGCGTACTCAATTTTTCTTCACTGCACCACAACAAAATAAATTTTAAAATTTATAAGATAAAAATTAATATGATGTTCCTGCCACAGCATCATTGGACACCATACAGTGTAGAAAAGTAAATTGAGCCTTCACAGTAATTTGACAAAAGAATGACAAAAAGAATGGCAACAAAGAACTAAGGCTTGACGAAAGCATCAGTTCAATATTTAGCAATGCGTAGATTGAGGTTTCACTTCTGTTTAGGTATATTTTGATTAGAACTAATAAATGGCTGATTTTCCTTTGGTTGTTTGCAACAACAACACATCACCCAAAGAGCTTTATTCTTTATTCCTTCTCATATAGCATGCCAAAGACTGTCTCATTTTATGAATTAGCATTTAAAACTACTGTAGGTTATCTAACAAGCATTCAGATTCAATAGTACTTTTGACAGCAGTAAGTAAAGAGCCTTTTAACATCTTGAACACATGTGCTTGAAAAAAGTAGTTACATCAAAGCAGTTCAAAGACTGAAGACAAAAACCAGTTAAAATCCAGTTTGCTACGAGACAATTTTAGTGTGGTGTAAACAACCTTTCACAATTCTCCATGGGAAATGTTGTAAGACTATGTTCAAAATGAATCAGGCATATTTATAAAGATCATGAAGTGGTCAAATGAATTTGCATTTTTGGCAGATTCACTCCACGGGTACTACTTGCTACAGTCTGCAGAAATCTCAAATCTCACATCAGCATTGTCTATAGTGCTTTATTATTTATTACATGTTATGCTAAGTACCTGTGAAAGGGGACATTCCTTGGCCAATGAACTCTGGTTCATATCCTTCAGTAAGTCCTTCAGAGCATTTCTTACTGTTGTGTGAGACCATTGTTCAGCAGGCAAGTCTTCTAGTTTAGGGCAACTATTTGAAACACAGATTAGAAAAGGGATTATTACAAGATTGCATCCTGCTGCAGAACATTCCTTTAAGACAGACAGATTTCATTTTGCGCATCAAGCAGATGCATCTGGAGATTGCTCTCGGTCTCCTGATTGTTCCGATTAGTTAATTACTTTATACAACACATCTGCTGTATTGATGCATGAATTATACATCAGCTGCATGTGGCGACTATTTTTTCATGTTACTTCTACCTTCCTGCTCTGATGCGCTTGGTAAAACAATTTAAGGTGTAATGCTTTCTCACGACTGATCATGAAAAGCATTAATATATTAACCGGTTTTTTTCTTTTTTCTTACCATGAAATTTAAGAACCTAGACAGCAACAATAGGAGTGAGCAAGTCATTCTTTTACCAAATGCACACAGATGGTACTGTTCATGATATGCAAAAATATTTTTCTCTTAAGTAAACTTTATGTAAAATGCCTTCTTGTAATGCATCATTTAATTGACTAAAATGCAATATAGTTTTAATGAGATATTCAAAGAAAACCTATGTATCAGAGCTATAAAAGTTTTCTGCAACAGTATACTGTAAGTTAAAGAAGAATTAGAGTAACTAAAAAAGAATTTAGATAAGCTTTGTACTTTGAGCACACAGCACAGTGGGAATTAAACACAAGCAATATTAACAGTAACAGCAGACAAGTAACAGTTCATGTCCCTGAACTGGTATGCAACTTACCTGTGTAACTGGATTTTCAGTGTGACCACATGATACACGTCCTGCAGCATGTCTGCTACTGTAGCATCAGGAGCATCTGTCACATAGGAAAGTGGAACTGGATTCCACTTCCCAACCTGGATAAGCCCTGCGGGAATTTTGGTTTTTTTTAGGGGAGGTGGGGGGTCAGAAGTAGGCAAGAAAGGTAGGAAAAAACAACAAAAAAATAAGTAATTTACCTGTTAATTCCTAGGGGTAAAAGAAACACCTGTTTTTAACAAGATCACTAGCTTTGTTTCTAGCCTCTTAAATCTGGCAAAACAAAGAACACCCTCCCTATGCCCTCAGAAAAACCCAAACACTTCACCTGTACACCTTCAAGAATATGCTTTATCTATATTATGAAATTATATATGCATTATATTATATGAATTTTATGCATTACAGTAGAGATCTTTTAATATGTCTAGAAGTGCATTTTCCAAAGTTTCCATTAATTCAATAGGACATGATATAATAGCTAGCATTCCTCTTAATAAATTAGAAAAGATTTTGTAATGCAGGGACTGAGAGAAAAAAAAAAACACAAAACAAACAAACAAAAAAAGAAACAAAAACCCCCGAAAACAACAACAACAATAAAACAAACCACCAAAAAAACCCCCAACACTTTGCAGTCTATAAAACCATCAGGAACAAAATAAAAGAAACAGAGCTGGATATTCAGTCATAAATGCAAGTTGACTCTCAACAGTCCATCTGCTCAAATATGCTTTACACTTCCTTGTGGATCCTCAGTGGAGCAGATTATTAAGGTCAATAAGCATACTAATGATTCAGTTGAAGTCTTTTTTTTCCTTTAAACAAAACAAAAAGCATCTACCTCCACATTCCCCATGAACAAAACATGTGTTAACTAAACAAAAATAAATTAAGGGAAGGAAAAAAAAAAACCACAGAGACAGCATCTGCAAGAAGTTTAAGAAGTAAAACCTGCATCGCATTCCTGAAAGAAATCCTGCCCCTCTCCCAAGACCCCACAAACAAACACAATTCATCGTAAAATTTCATAATCTTATTTACCTTTTGCTTGGGCAGCAGAGCTGTGAGAATATCCAAGTGATAGCAATGCCATTTCAATCAGTTGGTTGAAAAGCATATCCTTCCTCACCAACACAAATTCTGCATGCTCCTCCTTAGAATCATACTCAATGGCATTTTCATAATGTTCCACTACACAGAAAACTGGAAGCATACTTCCTATTAAAAAAAAATAAATTTAACATATTAAACTTGAGTTATAGTAGAGTAGGTGGGTCTATACAGCATTATGTAAATAAAACCTGTACGAACAGGCAGATGAGGCATCAAGAATCATAACAAGTATTTGATAAACATATTCCCTGAGTCCTTTCCCCTCACCCTCCCCCAAAAAAGAGAAAGTTCTACAAAACATACATCTCTCTGAAAAGCAGAAATGCAAATTTACCTCGCTTGATCAGATACAGATTAAAGAATTACCTTCTATAGAAACAACAAGGTTGACTGAAGAGAAGTTGATTCTCTCTGTCCTGCCTGATTTGTTGTGAGTAGCAGGCAGCATGAGAACCTAAATACAGACTGCAGATGTCTTCACTGTGAGCCATTTTAGTACCAGCTACATAATTTTGTTCGTTAACATTAAAACTTTCTTAGTCCTGCCAAAAATATTTAATTGCTTTCAACATCAACAACAAATCACCTTGCGTGTTATACATTCACTCTGAAAAGAGTACACAAGGAAAGAAGGCAAAAGTTAACACTAATTTGTGCTTCATTCATTGAGTGCACTTGAGCACTACTTTCTCTCACATCTTTAAGAAACAAATCATTATTTCAATGCCGGTTTAAGAAGTGTACCTGCAGTTCAGACTTTTTGTTTGGTTGGTTGGTTTTTGTTTGTTTTTTTTTTGTTGCCTCCTGCACTTTGCATTTCACATTTCTGGTTTTCATTGCTATTTTGGTATGTCTGAAAGTAATTACTGATTTCCAGTTTTGTAGCATCATACGACAAACCCTTCCCTATGCTGCACAGAATATTAAGCAAACAACCTTTTTCCCTTTCGTTTTGCCTTTTTTTTTTTTTTTTTTGACAACAGACAGAGAAGTAACAAATGGCCCAAGCTGTTTTAGGGACAAAGTCTGTCCCGGCAATTGGATTTCTAGACTTTGTGAAAATCACTCCCAGCTGGACATGGGTGACACGATGACCTCAGACCTGTGGTTTTAGACCCAGGTCCTGTCCCACTGTCTCCAGCAGCGCAGGTTAGAATCTCTTAATGACAGAAAGCAAAAGGGTTAAAAGCAGATGCACAGAACTGTCTTATGGCAGCCTGCCAGAGGGGTATCATCTTTAGCATAAATGATGACAAGGGTTATTTTAACAGGGCACCCAGGAACTCCAATTAGTCCTACAATGTTAATGCCTCTATAACCACTGCCCTCTAGACTTACGGAGACCTCCTAACCTGCTAAGGTGCACCAGACGTGCTGTAGTTAAAAAGAAGATTTCCTCTTCACAATAGATAAACGCTTTAAAACCGCGTCTGTTGATTTGTGCTCTAACATATAGCAAGAAATCACGATAAAAAAGATACCTCTTAAGCACGTATATTTAAACTACATCTGTCCACCAGAGAGTCAATCTCTGGCAAACAAACCCCTTAAGGCTCGCTTGGAAAAGCTCACAAACTCACTCCAGTTTGCCCAATAGGCTCAGCATGAAAGACAAGACTAAAAGCTTGCCAATATTTATGTAGTGCAGGAAGGAGATTTTTTTTTTTGTCTTGGTTCTTTTAAATCTAAGCGAGACTGGTCAGGAAAGGAGAGAAGACCAAAGCAAAAGCAGTACATGCAAATTGGCGATCTCTTCATTGGTTTTAATTAAGCTGTGGAGAGTTTTCTAAAACACACACATGCTTCATCTGCAAAAAGGTGGCAGGGCTTTTTTTTCCTTCCAGGCTCTCACAATTGATGTTTGACCTACTACTGTCTGACTCAGAGCAAGGGCTCAAAATTCTTAAGCAGTTTCAGTGTTAATTCCTGAAGATAAAATGTAAACAAAGCTTCACTTTAACAAACAGTGCAGATACACTGGAAAACATCTAAAGCGTATTTGGTTTTTTCCCTCTTATCGGCTCCTACAAATTAAGCTATGATCAGACATAAAACTAGCAATGTGCAGGTGCTTTGCTGCCTATCAGCGCACTTTTTGCCAGGTACACTTTCTCGTGAGCTGCAGCGTTCTGGAAAAACGTGGTACTTTAAACAACACGGCAGAGCCTGCTGGCCAAATTTTGCTGTACAGCGTAGATTATCAGAGGTGGATCCTGGTAGTGAGACACAGGTATCATCTGACTACAAATCAAGCCACTAAATCTTTTAGCAAACTGTCACTGGTGTCCTTCTGTTAATGTGAAAAATGTTATACAGGAGAGCACAATCTCAGCTGGCTGATCACTCCTGCGAGTACTTGGCAAGACCTCCAAGTGCAGCAACTTCATAACCTTCTAGTATTAAAGGGGAGAGCATTGGTCAGTGCTCATTGCTAAAAATACAGAATGATTTAAACCTGAAGGCAGTGTTAGAGCTTTTGCTGAAGGTTTATGAGTCTGTGTAAACAGCATGTCTGCCATAAGGAGCAGGGAAGTCTGTAGAATCCTTGTCTAAAACTGTCCTGGCATTAAAGTTTGCTGTGCAAATATCACATAATACCAGAGACAGCTGAAATCTCCTATTTAGGAATTTATGGAACTTATACGTTCGCAGGCGTCAGAAAGTCCTTTTTATATAGCCCCACTGCTTCACTGTACAATATTAATGCACTCTGCTTGAAAAGCCGTAATAAATTATATTTTTAATGCTCTTACCCTGGCTTTCTTAAGATGCATACATTCTTGGCAAACAATCAATAAATAGGGTAATCATGAGCAGAGGCCAAAGAATTTGCTGAAGTGCTGTTTTTCCATTTTTAATAGATAAAGATCTAACAATACGGACTGCTGTGTCTGTTCATTTCAGGATCAATATATTCTTTGTTTTCACCAAACCGAGGAAAAAATAAATGATTGTACGATAAATGTTATGCATCAGACACAATGAAATTCCTCTGCCTTCTAACTTTGTGCGTTTAATAGTCTTGGTTGCATTTTGCACTTTGTTTAGCAAATGCAAGAAAAATCTGGAATATTAACATACACCGATAGTTACACTGAGAAAAGTAGGGGCTGGTTTAAAACAAATGCCAAATTAAATGCAGCATATTTTGATTTAAATTAGCAAGCCTGTAGGACATGGTCAAAAAGACTTGCAGATTTTGATAAGCAGAATTCATAGATTATTGTCCATTAAAAGTATTTTCAATGCAAACAAAAGCCATTCATATACAAACATCAATGATTCTAAATGTGTCTTTTCCTTGTGTAAATGTCTAATTACAGCAAACCAGCCACTGAAAAATATGACACCCAAGTTGTTCATTGTTCAATAATGAATTGTACTTAAGAAAATAAACTGCGAAGATTGACATCATAAATGACTTTTCCAATGTGATACCTAAAGATTTACACTCTCTCCTTTAAGCCAACTTGCAACTGTTACGGAAATAGTGCTGCCCTTCCAAGCTTGGACCATCATTAAGAGGAAAGGTGAGAATTTCTTCTGGGAGTACAGTATTCACTCTTACATATTTTCGCGTTTCTTAGCCCAACACTAACTCAAAGAATTAATGCATTATATTACTTCTACTTCCACGAAGGAATTTGCTTTAATCAGGGCAGCTAGCCTTTACCTTAACAAAAATCAGACTCCACCCTGTAAAGCAAGATGCTCCACCCAAGCATGAAGCTTACATATCCCAAATGTGATTTATATCAGAGTTGGGAATATATAGTATTTTAGAATGGAGACTTAAACCTGAAATATAAATGAAGTAGAGTCTGCAAAAGTATGCTTTCCCCCCCAAATATTATAAATCGTATTTCTCTAATGCAGAATTATCAAAAGTGTTACCTTTTCTAATATTAGTTTTCATCAGGTGTCCAGAGTGTTTTAAAGGCACTCCTTGCATTTTAGTTCCTGTACTTCCAAGTCTTCCTCTTCCTAATGGGCTCCCATTCTGTTCCAAGCGCGCAATTTTGGCTGGTGGACCCTTCGGATCGCTTACATTGTTAGACATTTCTGAATGTTCTTTCCCCTGAGTTGCCTCGTTCAAATGATCCATACTCAGTCCCGCCTCTAAAGATCACCTGCCATGATTCAAAAAAAAATATATATGTTGTACACGTGTGCGCATATGTATACGTACACAGCCTGCACATGTACAGAGAGAGATGTATGTATCGTAAGCTCATAAAGATGAATAAATAACTATTTTAACTGGAAAGAAGATGCCTTTTTTAAACTTTTTTTTCTTTTAAAAAAACTTATACTCCAAAAATGACCTCATACCCCACTTTACAGAGAGATAGCATCATAATCTAGTGGAAATATTTTTCAAAAACCAACTAGCATACGCCTTTAAAAAAAATTCTTCAGAAATATTCTACTAAATCTGAGAGAGGCTAAGACTCATGTAAATGATGCTAATTGTCAAGGTACGTGCTCCAACACAGCTATTGTTACAAATCTCACAGAAAGGTCTGTTATTAATCCTGGGTGTTTTTATTGTGCTGAGAGAGACAGAGACAGAAAAAGATTCTAGTGAAACATTTCTCAATCTACTTGACTGAAAAAATGGACGCACAACAATAGAGAGATTGTTAAAACTTTAGTTGAGGAAGCAACAGATTTATTAAAGATGTAGAATTTCGCCCATTCACAATTCCTCTCCCCCTTAAAAATAAGTTAGAAGAGAATTTAGCATTAACTTCAGAAAGCAGTGGCGGGAGATGGTTGCTTTTGAGTTTCCTAACCAGTACTACACAAAGAGTTTACCAACTTTTGCAAAGTTCAAAATATGTATATGAAATTTTTCAGATGTTAGGCTTTAAACATTAATTTGAGTAATTTATTGAATTAAGAAAAATAACAGAATAGAAGGTAGCATCTCGCAAAACATAACACTGGAAAAAAACCCTACAATGTCTACAGTACTTCTGAAGCCCTTAAACATTAAAAAAACCCAAACTGGGCGATGCTAAGTTACATGCTGGCACAGCTATATGAAACCAAAAAACAGAAGTAATTTCAACAGCAAATTAAGAAAAGGTATATGTTCGCAGGCTTGTATTTCCCTTTTTATTAACTTTCAAAACCTCCGTTCACTAATAACAATTCCAGTTAAATCACTATAAAATCTCCCAAGCCTAGAACATAACAAAGTAAGTTTTGAGGATTTTTGTCACTCATCAGAATTTGTTTTGTCAAGTATATATATATA